TCCTTTTTAATATATATAGTAGCATTGTGTAAGATATGGTTGCTATATCTTAATACAAGACAAATACACATCAGGACAAAGTATAAGTATTAGTGGTTAGGGGTTTTCAAAAGCAAGTACTTTTAGTAATGGATAAGAGACATAATACAACTCCTCAAAGACATATTTCATCAAAATTAATATCTTTTTGATAAAGGTATGTTGTTTTATTTCTAAAATGAGAATAATAACTGCCTTGCTTTCATTATAAAAGTGCAATTTATCTGATACTTGAAAGCTTTATGTAAGTTGGAGCTCCTTTTATTATTTTTCTTTATAAATATATTCTTTTGGAACTATATTATATGAGCAAATATCAAAAATTTCTACTGAAGGGACTGGGGATGTGGCTCAAGTGGTAGAGCGCTCGCCTGGCRTGTGTGCGGCCCGGGTTCGATCCTCAGCACCACATACAAACAAAGATGTTGTGTCYGCCGAAAAAACTAAAAAGTAAATATTAAAAAGTTGTCTCTCTCTCTCTTAAAAAAATTCTACTGAAAATAAAAATAACCTATAAATACATTCCCTAAGCTTGAATCTGAATTGATTCAAATTTAATGATTTTATGCGATTAAAAAACTAATAATTAGGAGAGAATAGTTAGCACTTATTTTATTGAAGTCTGTATACATTTTCTATACTCATAAACAGATAAATGAGATCTGAAAATTACTTATGGTTTGAGAATTGAAAATCCAAAGCAGCAATCAGTAAAATTCTCAAAATTGGAAACTTTAAGATAGGGTTCTAATTAAATAGACTATTTTGAAACTTAAAACATATCATTGAGCAAAAATAATCACATTTCAATCCAAGGGACTTTATAAAGTAATCGTCTTTGAGGAATTTGAACATGAGATTGTTTCTGAGAATGTAGCCACATGATTGTATTTAACTGAAAGATGAGGCTGTTTCCTTCAGTTAAGCCTTCAATTAAAGTGTACTTTCATAGTCATTAAACTCAGAAACCTAGAACAATCCTCTAAATCTGATTCTTTCCAATGACCTGCCTAAAGAACATGAGTAATTATAAAATTTTCCAGATCTTGTTGACATTTCTGATTTCACTCCTGTCATTTACTCCTGCAGCCCATAAGGCTGGATATGAATTTTAAAGGGATGCAAGCCACACAGGATTAGAATATCCTAAATGGGATTTCAGCAGSGGAACATCCAATAATAAGAAAAACGACAGTAAATAAAATAAAGATAGAACTTCTTTTTCTTTTTGAAAATTATCGCCTATTCCAAGTAGCACCTTTTAACATCTAAAACATATTTTAAAATATTTCCTATATCAATTTTCAAGGTAATAAATTTTATTCTTGTGACTATTAAAATTTTTATTTGCAAATATTTATAAATAGCTTTTTTAATTGAATACAAATACTTATAAGTATCAAAACTTAGGATACAGGAAAGAAAGTGCATTTGTGTGTGTTCACACATGCACTATGTAAAAGCAAAAACATTTTTGGAGGTGGGGAGTACTGGGGTGCTCTAGTATTGAGTTATATTCCCAGACCATTTTATTTTTTGAGACAGGATGTCACCAAGTTAATGAGGCTGGTCTCAAACTTGTGATTCTTCTTCCTCTTCCTCTTAAGTCAAGGGAATTACAAGGCCTGCACCACTACACTTAGATGAAAAATATACTTTAAAAATAATTGTCAAAATGAATGTTAATATTATGTACAACTAATATTATATATAAGTAATAATTTTTAATTACAACAAAATCTTATGCTTCAATTTACTTTATGTGTCATGCTTATATCTGTTCTAGTACAAAATACATTAAAACTTAAATTATAAATGTGATTGCAACTAAAAAAACATTAAAAGAGCAAAAGAAAAAGAAATGAAAATTCTCATGTGAAGTTTCTCACCACCTCCCATGGAAAATTCTGGTTCCAGAACTATCAAACAATAATTTGTAAACTTGCACACAGAATCTATCTTGACCACCAATATGAGACAAACAGGGCTCCATCCAAAGTACAACAGGAGGTAACAGGCAGTCCTATAATCTCTGTTTCAGCTACAGTGGCTCTTGATTTTACATACAAGGCTTCTATATAAATATACATAAAAATATTCCACAGGAAAAAAAAATCATTGATAGAATATCTTGTTGGCATTTATAAGTTAATGGATTTAAGGAATAAGGGAGAAACTTCTTAAATATTGGACACCAAAGCAAACCCAATCATAAATTTTTCTAACAAATTAACAACATTCGAGTTGGTCTCTATTTTCTTCAACCCAGTCATACTGGGTGGAAGAATGTCAYGAGATTCAGAAGATGGATGAAAATAAAATTGAACTCAATAGACATATATAAAGTGATGGGATTATTATTTTGTGGATATATCCAAAAAATAATGAGTGATAGACTATTAGAAAGTACAAAAGGCAGTAGTATTTTTTAATTGAAAAAAACACAATCACATAGCTTAGCATTATACAAAGAGAGGTTACCATAGTTATTACTCTAATTTCAAATGCTGAAACAATTACTGAAAAAGGTGACACACATAAAGGTCAATGAAAAAAAGCACATATCACTATGATCTAAATCCCATCTAATTCCAAAAAATACTTAGATATTGTGAGTGGGATWATAAAAAAGTTAAATAATGTTTAATTTTCATGTAACACAGGATACTACATATGCACAATCTCTTGTTTCTAATAGAGAAAAAAAAAGTCATAATCATACTAAGTGAAATAACCCAGACTCAGAAAGTCARGGTTGAATGTTTGTCTCATATGCATACGCTAAAAGAAAAAAAAAAAGGAATACAAAAAGGGAGAATCTTTCAAAAAATAGAAGGCAGATCTGTAGAGTAGAAGCAGGGTACAATGGGGAAGGGCAAGAAAGGGGAAGAACTGAGGGATGGAGTTGACTAAATTAGGCTTGGTGTATGTATAAATATATCACAATGAATTCCAATGTATATATATGACTAGAATGCAGCACTTCAATGATAATAGAAGGAAGATCCAAAAAGTAGAAAGAGATCYTGAGGAGGGAAGACAGGAGGGAGGGAGACAGCACAGGGGGTTGACATTGAGAAAACTACATATGTATTTCTAGATGTATCAAAATGAACCTCCCTATTGTGTATAACTACAATGAATAGAAAGAAGAACTATTAGAAAAAGGCAAATAAAAAATCTTAAAAGAATTGATAGGATGAAAACAGAATGTACCTTTAAACATTAAAATTGAGAAACAATGATAGGGGATGCAGTCCAGTACTAGAGCTCTTGCCTACTATATAGGAGGCCCTGGCTTCAATCCCCAACCCCACAGGGAAGAGAGAGAGAAAAACAGAGAGAATTATGAATAATGTGAATAAAGTAATTTGATAGAACATGGAAATTATGTGACAAAAAAAATTTGCACGTATTTAAAGTGTTCCTTTAAAAAAAATAAGCTCAGAGTGAAACTACAAATAAAAGCTAATTTATAAAGTCCCATTTATTAATCATTTGTGTCTTAGTGAATTTGAATTGTAATTAATAATGAATGCTTATATGCACTTAACTTGAGAACCTATATAAATTAACTTATTTTATCCTCAGATGATCTTTCCTAATTAGCCTCATTTTATGTAATAAGAAAATCCTTGCCAAGAAAGTTGACGGATTTTACCAGGGAAATATTATTGTTAAGGTTTAGATTTGAACTCAGGCAATCTAACTCCAGGACTCAGCAATTCTGRATATACTCTGGGTGCTTGATGTATTCTACAGCCTCCACATTATGGACAACATAAGAAACATATTTGTAAAAACCTCAAGTGATTCTTTCCCTTTATTCTTTACTTATATCAGAAGGCATGGTCCAAGGTGCATGAGGGGGTCAGAGGAAAATTTGAGAATGGCTAACACTAAAGCACAGGCCATGACTGAGTCAAGCCCCTGTTTCCTGCGTCACTCTTCTCCTCATGAAAGACCAAGCTGCCTTAGCAGAAAGCCTGTGGAATCCTCAGCCTACGGAATCAGTGCTAGAATATGGAAGGTCTTCTCTCTGAGCCTTCGCATACGCCCTCCCTTCCTCACCATGAAGCCTTCTCAGCTAAGCCTTCTGGTCACTGGTTTTCTATCTCTTTAGTTCTCCTTCTCCTTCTCCTTCTTTTTTTTCCCTCCACAACACTCATTTTATGTTGGGCCCACAAACTACTGGAATGTGGGTTCTTTGTCTTATACCCTAGGGTAGGCAAAGAGGGACAGAGACAGACTGACAGGCATGGCAAGAAGGCGTAAGGACTGCAGAGTGTAAACTCTACAAAATCCCTCTGCCAGTTTGGATGTTTATATAAAAAGATTGTTTTATGTGAGTGTAATATATAGCTGCATTGTTTCAATTTCTAAAGAATGTATCAATATATTTTTTTTTTGAGAGAGAGAGAGAGAGAGAGAATTTTTAATATTTATTTTTTAGTTTTCGGCAGACACAACATCTTTGTTTGTATGTGGTGCTAAGGCTCGAACCCGGGTCGCACGCATGCCAGGCAAGCTCACTACCGCTTGAGCCACATCCCCAGCCCTGTATGAATATATTTTATAAGTTACTGGTTGTCCACTATGAAGGTAGAATCATTTATTGGACAATAGATGTGAAGAAAGTCTCTGTGGATGCAGACATCCCTACAAAGAGTCACATAGTGAAGCTACATGAACAAACTGTTCATTCAAATTAGGCTTCTTTTACATAAATCATCTTGACACAGTACCTCCACATTAGCATCCCTAGTTCAGGAAATCAAACCCATGGCTTTGCACAGGCTAGGCAAGTGTTCTATCACTGAGCTACATCCCCAGGCCTTTCACAGACTTCTATAAGATTTGAAAATGAGACAGTGCTGCACTTGCTCCTATTTTTCAAATATGAGATATATAAATAGGCATGAGCATAGTATTCCAACAGTCATTCACATTCTTTTACTTACAGCCCTCATAGATGTCAGTGGGAATATGGACTGCTGCATGCTGATAGGATATTTGTCGTCCAAAATTAGCATCATCGATAAAAACAGGCTTAATCCTCTGGCTGCCTGGCTCACTATCATTTTTTTCAGGCTACAAAGGAAAAGATAGATAATAAATAATTTTATAATTTATGCTAACATAGATTTTTTCATATTTACTTTTCATTTGGTAAATATTTATTCTACAAAACACAAAAGATCCACAAGGATATTTTTTAAATATTTTTTTTAGTTGTAGTTGGACACAATACCTTTATTTTATTTATTTATATGTTGTGATGTGGATTGAACCCAGGACCTTGCACGTGCTAGGTGAACACTCTACCACTGAGCCACAACCCCAGTCCCCACAAGAATATTTTCAAAGATAATTCCATGATGGCACTGGGCACAGGAATTCCCATTCAAGTATTAGCATTCGCATTGCAACAAATTCCCTGTATTTCTCCAATGTTGGAGTTATTTGGGAACCACTCAGACCTTTCTCACATAAGACATTAAGATGGACATTTAAAGAAAAGGATAAGTGCCTTTAAATACAACTATTAAAACCAACCACTTGAAATAAATTGCACAATTTATGGTACTAAATTTATATTGGTTACTTAAGGATAACTTGACTACAAAAGTTACACATGACAGCAATCAGGCAGCAATGTAAGATTATTTTGTCAGATTCCCTTGATTTTTTTCATGTTTTCCATGTGTCTCAATTTTTGTGTTACAGAAGAAAGTATATTGAGAAAGAAGAGATCCACTATAAATTTAAACACAATTAAATCCTAACTTCTGCCAATTTGTTTCCTAAAGTAGGAATTCAGATACAATCAATAATGATTCAAGCAAATTCCACAGGAGATTAAAGTCTAAGGTTAATTTTCCATCTGCTGGAACTATGCTGGTGAGGCAGAATTACCTTGTTGCCACCCAGACCCTTGGCAATAAACTAGAATTTTTATTCATTTACTAAAAATACATCTATAACTTTGTGTTCTATTTATAGAAAACACTTTTTTTTCAGTTGAAATAGTCATTTGTAACTCTTCCTTAACTGAATGTTTTAAAAAGTAAATTTAGGTCTGTTTTTTAGTTCCTTTACTATGGAGACTGATTTCTATATGTCAAAGATAATTGCTTCAAAAACAATTGAAAAAAATTCACAACACTTGACCATAATATATCACACAAAAATACCATTTGGCAGGCATACAGCAATACTAAACAATAGAGAAAATTGAAAGAAGTAACCTGAAAATGTCCTAACATAGTTTGCAGAAAATGGAAAGTCAGTAGTTCTACAAAGATGTAATGGTATCCAACTTTTCATATCATATTGAAAGTTTAAATGACAGATAACACATTAGAGTCCTCAAATATTTGAAAACACACCCATCTCATTTTTTCCTTGGAAAACTGAACTTTAGAAATACTAGACAAAATTATAAGCAATAGAGTGTTTTTTATTTTTACCAACAGCTTTTGAAGCTCCAGGTAGGTATCACTAGGTCATAAAGTCAATTGTCAGTTGTGACTAAGTTATTTTTGTAAATGAAACACTGAAAGAGAATATGAGCAAATACTCATAAGAAGAATTTTATTTTATGTTACTCCTGGAATGATGATCAATGTGACTGTAGCATGCTCACAAGAGCATATGGGATTTGGGTTTTAAAACCTATCTTTGGGACAAATTTGTGAAAACAGAATATTGCTTTTATACAGGTAGAAGCCACAAATACAAATATTTGTTCTTTCATTAACAAACTGAATTTACAAAGTAATAAGACTGAATTTGAAAGTCTAAAATTTTGCAAAATATCCACATTCAAGAATCACTAATTGCTAGGAGCAGTGTCTCATGCCTGTAATCCTACAGCTCAGAAGGCTACAGCAGGAGGATTGTGAGTTCAAAGCCATCCTCTGCAAAAGTAAGGCACTAAGTGACTGAGTGAGACCCTGTTGCTATATAAAATGCAAAATAAGGCTGGGGATATAGTTCAGTGGTCAAGGACCCCTGAGTTCAATCCCTGGTAACAAAACAAACAAACAAAAAGAATTACTAATTATTCTCTTTTCTAAAACAGAGGTCAGCTGTGTACATTACAAAGGAGAAGAAAGGAAAGACAACAAAACTAAGAAACAGAATCAAATAACGTGCTGCCTAACTTACATAACACAATGGCCTTGATACAATGATTAAAAGATAAAAGGAGAGTGATACRTGAGATTCTTATTCTTGGATTCAATTATGTATTTTTAAAATAGTTTAAAATTTATTCCATTTTGTATTCCTTGGAACTCTTGACTTGAATAATAAATAGAATGACACAATAAAACAAACCACCCACATTAATAACATAAACTCCAACTAATGAGTGATGGAACTATATGTTTCCTTTATAAGCATTATTCTAAATTAGTGAAGGTCACAACACTTATTTTAAAGTGCTAGTTTCTCAAAGCACAGCCATTGGGAAAGCATCATTAGTATCCAATGAATTTTATTTTTTTTTATTGGTTGTTCATAACATTACATAGTTCTTAATACATAAAGAGTGCAGATTCTCAGGGCCCAACCCAGATCTAGTCCGTCTCAAGGAGCAAAAGAGGCACTTAGCAATCTGTATTTTAGCAAGACTTCAAGGCGATGCTGCTGCACACTAATATGTGAAGTCCAGTGCTTCAAGATATGAACCACTAAAACTAGGTACATGTGATTATTTAGAACTCCTCATGATAAATTATTATTATTTGGAATAAGCATAATAATAGGTGCCTAAATTATATTAATTTCTTCGTGGACAGTTTCATTATTGGTGGATAATAGATGACTGCAAATAGTAATATGGCAAATAATATCTGTGAAAGTGCGTTTATTTGTTAGTTTGTTTATTTGGTTCCAGGGGTGCTTAACCACTAAGCAACATCCCCAGCCCTTTTTTTATATTTTATTTTGAGACAGGGTCCCTTTGAGTTGCTTAGTGTCTAGCTAAATTGCTGAGGCTGGCTTTGAACTTGCAATCTTCCTGCCTCAGTTCTTGAACTGCTGTGATTACAGGTGTGCACCACCACACCTGGTTCAAAGGGTGTTTCAAAAGACAAGTCTCTTGAATTTTTCCGAGGGATCAGCACCATCCTCAAATAAGCTGGGGAAGTTTTGCACATCATATTCTTCTATTAAGAGAATAATAAGCACATTAGTATATCCAAAGTTCTGAGGTATTCTGGACTAATAAAACTGTGTTTGACCTAATATTTTCAAGCTTATTTGACCCTCCCATTCTTTTTCTCTACTATCCATCATGGGGAACACACTTATGTGCAAAGTTACATTAGAACTTTTAGACAACAGGAGATCTGTCTTCACTCTGCTACATTAACAAAATATTGGAGTTGGATCAGTCACTGTTCCTGGTAGAATAAATACTATCAGGCTATAAATAGGTCCTTCACCTATGAGACTATCTGACACTTCGAAAGCATCTTCCCCAGCAATAAAGCAACATATCAAAGGGGAAATATCTTTTGAAAGACTATTCCAGTTGATTCTAATGAACTCTTCTAACATAAATTGAATGCCCAAACTGAAGGATCCATAAAGTAATTTTCAGTTCTGAAAAATTATACTCTATGTATATAGTTCTGGGAAATATATTATTGCAAGCATATCTTCCCCAAAATMATATGTAAATTTATTTTTCATATATTCAGATACTTAGAATGTAGAAGGCTTATAAGATAGATAGTATACAAATAACTACATTTATGAGTTAGTGTTAAAAATGTAGAAATGTGGCAAATATTTTATTCAGTCACTCACCCAAAAAATATTTATTGGGATAGAAGAGGAGAGTAAGATTTATCAATGTTCAGAGAAATGTTATTCAATATCTAAATCTGAAAACATTAAATTTTCAACAATAGTAAAATGGTCATAATAATTATATTAGATACAATTCATCTGATAATAAATAAGATATATATGTATACATATATATATATATATATATATATATGAGAGTAATTACACTAGAAATGTACTCAAACTCTGTATTTGTTTAAAAATGATTAGTTTATGAAGGACATGTTAAGCAAAAAGGAAAAGGAAAGAGAGATACAGGAAGAAATGAATGATGTATATATAGTAAATGTTACGAATATTATYATTGATTTGAGTTATAAGGAGTTATTACTTTGTACTATCTTTTTTAAAAATAATAATATTAGCATGAATTATATTTTTAGTGAGAAAAGAACTATTAAATTTTAGTTTTAAATCTTTTCTCTAATTATACAAAGTATTATATTGTTAAAATCCCTCTTAATTTCATGTGAATCTTTTTACTTTTGAAAATTAGCAGATTTAAATACATTTTATGGATATTCTTACACTTTTAGATTACTATATAAAGGAACTTGAGGAGAAACTTTACAATTAGGATTTATTTCTCAAAATGTATAATTATGTGTCAAATTTTATATTAAAATGTAGTTGCTTAATATATTAAAGAAAAATACAACTGTTTTTCATGGTTTACTCTTCTGTAGTCTAAATAAATCAAAATAAAAGTATTAAATGTTTAAATTCAACTCATTTATTTAAGATTTTGAAATTATTGTTACTAATATTATCATAATCCACATCTTTAGTTATCTTGATATTATGACAGGATATAATTTAATTGAAATATAGCAAATATTAGGCACAAAGGAATGGGATGATAATTTGGAGGAAAAAACTGCACTGTCTAATGTGTTAATTAAACATGTCAAATTATTCTGCTAAAACAAATATTTCTGTTTTCAGATAACATAAAAATAACATCTCTTCTCAATGTTCTTTCAAAATATCTTAAGTCTGTAGACTATCACACATAAATATGCACAAAGAAACTGAACAAGTAGATTCTCAAATGTATTTGAACACATTTGGCTAAAACACAGAAGTGAAACATGTGATGCAAGATTCACAGACTATTCTTCTCAATATAATTTGTTATTAAATAATAGATTAGATCACTTAGATATTGAGGTATTGGCTAATGTTGAATGGGTAGGTCATCCGATTTAATAAGCACTGCATATTAGCAA